GAACTTCAAAAAATATTGCATACTTTTAGAAACTGTTTCATTTAATCTTACAATTCTAGTGATTTTTGTGGCAGCCACATAATCTTCTAGCTGCATTTTGCAAAACCAAAAACTCACAATTGCAAATCAGAAATACCTAGTGGTCACACAATTTTTTTCGTCAACTGAAAGTTCAGCGATAAGCCATACTAGCTCACTCTTTTTTGGTAAACAAATAAAAGAACGCTTAAAGAACATAATCCCACCCGAAAACCCAGACCCACGCGAACTAAACCTGAGCTGCAACACGAATGCTGGGCTTTAACTTTCAATTAAGACCCATGTGTACTTTCACTTCATCGGCTCAAATCACATTTGATGCAAGCTTAGTTTACTTTATTTTCGCTCTTTTCTTTTCACTGTATTTTGCTATAGAGGACTTTTCGCATTGTTACCACAAAAACGAAAATAACAACTGCAATCCCGAAGCACTTAAGTCCCATGTAATTACAGGTTTGAAGAGGGGATGTGAGCTTTCAATACGGTCCCCTATTCATTGGGGCTCCCATATTTGTCAATGGATTTCACTTGGATTTTTATTGTTGTTCTGCTGCAGCCTGTCCTGCCATATCCTTTTCTTTTCCCTGGCCTCCGCCTTATTGCAAATATTTGGTCACTAAATTCAGCTGTCCCTAAAACTATCTTTCCCAGACCCTGGCGAAGTTCTTTCTTAGTCATTTTCATTGTGGTAATTGTCCAAGTTACGCACATTAATGTCCTCGGCATAAGAATATGCAGTGACTTACTCCAGGAACTGTTGCAGTCAAGAGAATAGCACAGTCTATATTCTATGTATAATACATTTTGACTGTGGTAATTTTCCAAAAGTTATAAATTTTAAAAAAATGTATAAACAAAATGTATTTTTATATTATCTCTGTTATTGGTTTGACTCATTTCTAGTTAGTTTTTTTAAATTATTTTGGGATGGCTCATCAACTCAGACACTATTTCTAAAGTAAGTCTAGTAGTTCCTAAATTGGAGGATATTATTGTAATTATTGTAGCTGCATTAGGTATTGTTTCCCTTTTAAGTAAAACATAAATAAATTTTAAAACAATATATAAAAATATAGACTTTAGAGAACTATTCCCCTTAAATTCACAAAATCCCATTAACATATAATGGTTTCTCAGTTTTTTATATTTATTTATTTATATAACACTAACAACTAATTGTAAAAAATTTGCAAAAATTAGGCATGAGCTATATATAGACCATAAGCTTTTCGGGTTTTATATAATTTTCAATTTGGTTTCTTTGGTCTATTTAAGTCTAGCTTTTCGAGTATATGTTTCATTTTATTATCAAATATTTACATTGTTTTTTTCTTATTTCTAATATACATTTATTATTATTTAGTTATTTATTGCTTATTATTTTATTTTTTAAACACATATCTAGTAATAACCCGAGTATTATAAATCTAATAACTTAGCCGCCGCTGTGCCCGCACCCTTAAATATCGCCCTGCTTTCCGGTGGCGCCCTGTCCCGTTGTTGTCCTGGTTGTTCGGGGCGAGTCAGCAGTCAAGTGGTTGTCTGTCTCCACTCAAGTGTCAGCAGGACTCAGGACTGTCCTCTGCTCATCGCACACCAACACAGCCCCACTGCCATGCCACACACACCAACACACGCGGACACTAGCTGGCAGCGCTCCAAGTGGCTGAAAAGGGAGACTTAGTTGGAGGACACTGCGTGTGCCATTTTCACTTCCACTTCCGCCCGTACACACACACACAGACGTCCGCAATACGTGCATGCATATTATACATACATATGCATGAGTCCTTCACAATGTTGTCTGAATGCGAGTCCTGCGTCTAATCGTAAATATTCTTAGGCCCTGTTTTGCTGCTTGATCCCTGGCCTTAGTGGTATCCCCGCCCACTTCCCCTCTCCCCTACCCCACCATCCCGGATAAGTTGTGTAATTTTCCGGCTTGAAAACTTATCTCGCTTTATACTTTCCCTCTGCTCCAGATTTCTTTGTTATTGGTGTAGTTTTGTTCCACTTTTTCTAGTTGTCCAAGTTTATGAGAGTTAGAGAGCGGCTAGAAATAGTTAAATTATACATCATTATTTTAAAATTATTATAAGTGCCTTTCGAATTTTAAAGGCTATAATGTTTTTAAAAAATAACACATTTATCCAGTTTTACAAGGAAGCGTGTTTTAGTGTCTGTAAATAAATAAGGTACTCTTGTAGAAATTTTTTTTATTTGCTTATAAAGAGCTAATTAGTAACTAAAATTAAGAGTAAGCGATTGAATTTATGTTTATGTTAGTCTAAATAAAGATAAACTATATATGATTTGTAATTTTAAGGTAATGTAGATTTTTATACAAACTAAAAAAATGTATTTTTAAAGTAAAAATGTTTTCAAAAAATAAATAATAAATGCTCTCCCTCGTGGGAGGAACAATATTATATTGTTAAATCAGTTGTTTTTTTAGATATTTGAAACATTTTATCTAGAACAATATAACAAAAAAAAGATTAAAATTGTTCAAAACACATTGACATTTATGCGAGTACTCAAAAAATAATTACTACCCTTAGAGGTGCAAGCACTTATCGCAATATTTATTTTATGAACCTGGCCATTAGGTAATTTCCAAGAACTTAAAACTCCCCACAAGGATCCCCTTCCTTCGCCGATAAAAGCTTCATTAATCCTATTTCCCTGAAATCGTACACTTAAACCGGAAATTTCTCTTCCAAAGAACTTTCCCACGAACACCTTGCGTTTCCCCTTAAATCTTTAAAGCGAAACTCTCGCACAAAACTCGCTTAAAACTTGCACTCGAAACTTCATCTGCCGCACAAAGAGCAAACACAACACCGAAAAGAAGATCTGGCGCAGGACATGCGGGGAAGTGGGCGTTGTGGGGCGGAAAATTTGGAAAACCTGCGGGAGTGAGTGGGTGGTGGGAGTCAGTGGGCGGCTGTGGGTGGCGGAAAATGGCGAAACGGCCACTTGTAAGCGAACTCAAAGCGGGACAGGTCCCAGTTTCAAATATCAACGACGGATTCGGTGAGTGCTTAAGCTCATCTATCAAAATATTTGTCGTAGCTTAAGCGACGAAAAGTATGTTAAAAGAAACTTGGAAAAATTGCCAAAGCAACAGACACAAAAGACAACAAAGCAGAAACGAAAAGAAGCCCCAAAGAACACGACAAAAGGCCGCAGGTGCACTACAAAAAGGATATTAAATGTATAGGACCTGGGGTGCAAAGGGTTAATTGAAGATTTATGTCATCGTGGTATTTTTTTAAATATTAGTTCCAAGCAAACACAACTTAAAATTTTTAAATATATTATATTAAATATTCAGAAGTATAGAAAGGGATTGATTTTTCAAATAAAATCATAAATTCATTGAGCCTAAAAAATTTTTATTTTATACAGTACGATAAGATTCGAGTGTTTAGAATACTGTTTTGCAGAAAAATCGATGTTTAAATAATCTACTCGATTAGAGACAAAGTTTGTCGTTTTTTTTTCATCGCTATAAGAAAATCAAAATAAAGGGCATTGATTATATGATGATATATGAAATTTAATCATATTTATATTAACTTAAACAAAATTATCAATATATTCATATGAGTTTTTGAAAAAAGGCGCCAGCCAGAATGCGGAAAAACATAAGAAATTGAAGATGAGACAGAATTTTGTGGCAGCACAATTTCTGTTATTTTCTCCAGGCGACCAGACTGGTCTAAAAAATGTTGATCACTTTTTTGTTTAAATATTTTTATAATTTTCTTAATATGCGTCCATTTTTTGAACTAAACGACTGTGTTGTATTATTTAGCTTTCAACAATGTGCGGGCTACTTAGCAAATGCAGCAACCAAGCATGTGGTGTGGTTCTTTGCTTATTATTACCTTTCAAATGAGGTGACAACCCTAGCCTGCTTGCTTTTTGTTTCCAGAAGAAAAGCTTTGGATCCGCGGAGTTTTTAAAAAGGATCCTATTGTCCCTCGGTTAATTGTTCGATATAGTTACTCGACTCGCAAGATTTATTGTCCCGATCAGGCCACCATTAAAAGAAAACGTTTTGATAGCTTTTAAACTAACCAAACTGTTTCTACACACAAAAAAAGATTTAGGTACAATTGACCAATATAATAGTTTAGTTGTGCCGAAGGACTTTAGTTTCCAGCTCCCCGTCCTTTAGAAATAATAATTTTTGTATTATAGCCTAGCTTTAATTTGTTATATCAACAAATTAAAAAATATCTTAGTCAGTTTTAGCAACAAAATAGTTACTGTCCCAACAAGAAAGTAAACACAGCTTACAAATTTATGGTAGTTTTACCATTAGGTAGTAACTAAAGCAACAATAAAATATGCGCAACTATTTTTAATAGTTATTAGCCTTTTTTTACACTTAAGTAACTATCCGTACTGATTAATTTTACCCATATTATTTTTTGTGTGTATGAGGGGTACTGGTTTAAGCCTTTCTTTATCATGGAAAAATATACCACAATTTGAACACTGATCTCTTTACTAGCCTCACACTCCAGAAAATAGTCATAAAATACTTAACAATACAAAATAAAACCTGAAAAATTATAATAACTACACTAATTAATTAAGTTATTTCGATTACGTTTATAACTTGAAACCCTAAGCCCTTGGGTATCAACCAATTGAATTGTTTCGACTGCAATAAATCCACAACATGGGGATTTTCGCAGTAATAGTAATCCGAAGGCATTCGCAGTTCATCGGACATTTTATATAATAATCCCATTCATCCCAACAATTGTCGGCGCACGGAATTCCAAATTAAAATTTCACATCTCTCCACAAGTGCTCCGTCTGCGGATCCGAATTGAATTGGAATCAGGCCTCCGGGCACATATCTTTCATTAGCATTTTTAATGCCTGTTTAACCTTTGTTTTTGAACCCTGTGTTTCGATTGTTTCCTGCTCAATTTCTCTGGCAGCTTTTAGCAGGCTGTGGGTCTTCCGTATTTTGCGTTGAACTGTCATATAAATATTTCTATACATCATACCATTTTCTTTTCATCAACACAGGCGTTAACATCTTTGGTAAGTTGAACTTCTTGGATTCGTCATATCAACATAATTTATAGAAATGTAAAGGTTGGTTAAGTTCATATCATTTGTTACACTGCATAGCCTCTATATATGATAGTTTATTTTTATAGAACTTCCTTATAAAATATATTTTCCTTCAAGTTATCTAAACCAAATCTTTTTCCAGGAACCAACATGAGTTTCTCTTTGGTGCGCAAACATCTTAGCCAAATGGGGAGCCCTAGGCCTCGTTCGTCCTTGGCACGAAGCTATATACCCATGGCCGGTCCACCCCGATTTCCGATGAGTACCGCCCAACGTTTGATCATCGGCGTCGGATCCTTGGGCATCATGATGATCATTCCCTATTGGTGTCTCTTCAACATGCGTCGGTGGTCGAGGATGCACTTGGGCCTTCCGCCCGAGGAGGAGGAGAAGGAGGAGCCTCCACCACCGGAGGCACAGGAGGAAACAGACAAGGAAAAGGACAAGAAGGACAAAAAGGAGAAGAAAAAGTAGATCCTGGACCAAACGACACTCAAACTCTTAAACGGTGACTTCAGCGCCACTCTTTTACTGGGGTCTTCACAGTCATACTCTAGAAAATCCAACGATTTCAAAAGTCCCATTAAATTGTAGAAAAATGATCTTCATTCTCAACACATTTCACTGGACACAAAAAAAAGTAGCAACAGCGTGGAGCAATTCAACACAATCATATCATATTAAAATTGCGAGTTAAATCGTTAAACCAGCGCATTTTATTCAGCCTATAAAACAAAGCAATGTTTTATTTATGGTTATTAATAAACAGGTAGCATATAACGTCTTAATAACCGAAATCTTTTTTTAACACATTTTTACGACCATCATAAAATGTCACCCTCAACGATAGTGAAAGTGGCGGAGCCTTATTAAATCATTAAAGCCTGCTCAGGCTGTGACTTACTTGAATTGATTTACTTTACACCCCACAAATAGATCCGCTTTGATGTCTGCCCACCAATTAAGGATCTGCACCAGCTTCGCAGACAATAAACCATCCATTGTCCACATCCAATTAGTTGGCTCAAACACCTCTGCTATAGGCCAAACCAAGAGCTCCTGTGGAAATGCTCCTCTAAAAACCCCAAGACCATTTTCCACGGCTGCCTGCCACAAATCAAAATGCTGAAAAAAGTAAACAAACCGAAAAAAATTAACAAACGGCGAGGAAAACCAAAATAAAAACCCAAACAAGCCGAGGAAACCCAAAAAGCAAAGTGCCAACTTTCATTAAAAGTATTTTTGCGCTCATTGCCAATGCATTCAATTGTGGACTTTGTGGGTCTTTTCGAGTCCCATGCCTAGTTTAAGCCTGCGACTTGACTTTGACCACCTCCTGTTGTCTGTGGGCCTTGTATCGCATCCAATCCTCATGATCTACAACACACCATGACCTTCTTCGCCTTCCCTACACGGAAACAAAAGAGTTTCAAGGCATTTGAATAAGAAATATATTTTAGTTTTAAATCATTAAAGAAAAACAACGTTTTTCCCATAATTATGTGTAAAAATATTTCTGCTACAATTTCCACTTTATAAATGTCAATCTCAAGATCGTCATTATCTTATAAAAATTATTTTCCGTGCCAAGAGAGACTCGCCACAAGTCGAACCGAAGGAAAATCCAGAAACGGCAAACATTCGCACACAAAATTTGAAAAAGTAAAACCGTCGAAGGAAAGTGAATTTCTTTTTAAGCAAATCAACTTGCCACGCCCCCCTATCGGCCCCCAGCCCCCAGCGCTTTAGCTAGGCCTGGAGATTCACAGATTTTTCGGTGAAACTTCATGTGCCATTAAACTGGTTCTGTCAGGCGCTGGACTGTCGATCGGATTTTTTGTTGGCTTTGGTTTGCTTTTCGGTCTGTGTTTGGGTTTTTTGTTTAGGTTCGGCAACTGCAAACACTCCTTGGTAAAAATAAATGGTAGGATGGTATGAACTATCTCTTTCCCACTGAAAGATCCTGTGATTTCGAAATTTTTGAAAAACTTTAGACTTGTTCTGTAATCTAAGAACATATTTATACTGAGAGTAGCATCCTCAACACAGAGAGAAATATTCAAGTACATTGTTCTTGAATTGAGAACATTCGTTCTTAAAAACAGTTTAGGTACATTTTGGTATTAATAGGACAAAATGGAAAGAAGAGATAAGTTAAATTGAGTTTATTTAACAATTTTTTCATAAGTATAGTCTACTGATTGGTCTAATAGTTTATTTTTTTAGATATACAATGTAAGTACCACCAATTTAACTTGATTCGGGCAGAAGGAAAACATTTTGAACTTCAAAAATGTCGTTTTATTTTTAAGAAAATTTTCAACTCAGATGAAAACGTCAGAATTTTCTTTGTGTAGAAATGGTTTATAATCGTTTCATGATCATTTTACATCTTAAGATACCTCGTTGTAAGTTCTTACAACATTAAAATTGGTAAATTATTATGTATACGATTTATTTATATTTATAGTTCTGCTTAAATTGTTATATGTTTCTGATGGGAAAACTATTCTTTCTATATAAACAATATATTAGCTTATAAATATCATAACAATTTTCAAGCTAAGGTATGGATAGTATCCTCTTGTAGGGAATTACAGGGTATCTCGAGCATCTGCGGCGTGTGAAAGAGGCATGTGCCCCCTTTGTTCCCTTTTGTCATCGCCCACATGAGGGGCTAAAAACTTGCTTAATTTTCCTTTTTGCCCTGGCATTCAAGTGGCATTTCAGGCAGCCAGGGAAACTGCCTCCTTGGACTTTTCGTGGGCGTTGCAAGTTCGCCTTTTTGGGGGCAGGAATCGGGAGGGGAGGGGGAACTGGGGACGGAGAATGTCGACCGAGGGGCGACAGACACTTGCCGCACTTGCCACACGCTGCGTTGCGTCAGTTTAGTGTGTCAGAAGCCGCAAGAAGAAAGTTGCCCGGGTACGAAATCCAGCCGTTTTGATCCGGTTTAGTGGTTCGTTTACAGGTTCGTTGTTCCTTCGATTGGATATCGGAGTGCTTTTTTACTTTCTGCCGCCACGAAAATCGTCGTCCACTTTCGGTCGCAATTAATTATGCGGCGGGTTGAAAATGAAAGTGCGCGCTCAGGTTGCAAGTCCAGATCTTGGGTTCTCACTCTCTCTTTCTCGGGCTCCAAAGACTGTGTGGTCGCCTCTTTTCGAAATCGCTGGAAATGTCGCTTTTTTCCCATCATTAGACCGCCAGTCGACTTTATTTCTACACACAGAAAAGAAAACATTGAAAGATTAGCTAGATCTAAGGATCTGCATGTTCTTGAGCTGGATGTTCTTAATATATTATAAAATATTTTACAAAAATAACAAAGATTGAATAACCTTTTCGGATGATTAAATGATTAATTCACTGTTGTCATATACAAGTATAAAAACACAGAGAGAAATATCCAAGAACATTGTTCTTGCATTGAGAACATTCGTGCTCAAAAACCGTGAAACGTCAGAATTTTCTCTGTGAAGGTTTAGTATTCCCTTTTCAGTGTTCCTCGAAAAGTGAGAACATTCTGGCGGAGATCTTCATTATCATCAAACGAGAACGCCGATCTGCGGATCCCAGAGCCCATCCTCCGATGGCTTCCCATCGAGATGTCGTTGTCATCGTCGAACATAGCGGCCCATAAAGAGTTTGCTTTATGCCCGCCGACCAACTTGCAGGTGGTCACTTAGTTTATGGCCGGGCAACCGCAAGATCGCACACCGATCCGATCCGAGCTGATTTGTAGTCGCCATTCCCGCGTCCAAGATTGCCGGCTAAAGCGGGTCTAAAGTGTTCTCTGAACGCTGCCACTAAAATATTGACCAGAAGGGGTACGCAAGCAGCGATTACTAAGACAGATCCTATATCAAGGAAAGTAAGAGAGATACAGATTGGATTTGGGAGGAGATATTAAGAATTATTAAGATTCTTTGTTTTTATAGACCACATATGGTGATCCAAAATTTCAATGAATACCATAACACTTACAAATGACTGGAACTCCAATTGTTTATTGCCTACCATGCCTATTAAGTCAATCGATTGACCCATCACATCGAGCCCATAACTTTTATTAGCCCAATTATAGCAAGTCCGCCCACACTTTGGTGACCATTTCCAGCTCTCCAGCGGATTCGGAAGAAAGGAAACCTAACTCAAATTTATCGGGCTGTCAACACGCCAACCCCTCTGGGGACTACCGATCGATTTGTTCCCATGAAACACTCATTTCGGTTGCGCGCTAATAAAAATTAAGCGCCAGCCAATAAACGTTGTAGACAATTCTGTAAAATAAATAAGAGTAGAGGCCCACACAAAATGGCAATCGATCGACGGCGGGGCGACACGATCAGCGGTTTTATTTGATCTATATTGGGAGTGGGACTGAGCGGAGACTGTGACCCCGTCAGCAGAAAACTAGGAAAACACAATGCGGTATGGTAAAGCTGTGGCATGTTTTCCCAACATCAAGTTGCCTCCGAGTTGGAGCTCATAATCGTTTAGGACGAAACTCGAAGAGCTCAGTATGCGCAGACTGCGGGTCTCGGCGGAAAATAACTCTAGACACAAATTATATTAATGGGCTTTTGTTGTGCTCTACTGAAGATCGGGTGGCGGAATCGAGCCGATTGGGGGAGTGGAGTATGGCATTTTGTCTTTGCACGAATCACGTTTTAGAAATTGCATTGCACATAGGAGGCTGCCGAAATGATCAAGCCACTACTAAATGTGCCCAGTCCACGATGAAGTCGCACACTGAAAAAAATCTAGATAGTTTCCAAAGCCAGATTCTTCATTCCATTGAAAAACGTTTCAGCACAAGATATGTGAAATAAAAAAGTAATGCAAATAGTTCGTTAATAGTTTTAAGGTTTAAAACTAATTAATTCTTTCAATTACATTACATGATTCGTTTTTTTACATCTTCTGTTTTAGTTGGATCTTCAGATTATTAGAAATGCTCATATACCATTATTTAAATTCGAAGCACTCAGGAATTAGTTTTCTATCTACTTTTTTTCCACTTGTACTTATAGTCTTCGGCTTGGGTCGGAATTAGAGACAATCTCTTTGGCTGTCAGGGGTTTTTGCGCAAGTTCTGGATGTGAAGAGCTTTTGGGCAGGCGGTCTTGAGTGGCACTTAGTTATAATACGCTGCCCTACCGTTTAAATGGGCCTCTCTGGCTCGCAGGCAAATCGGAGTTACCTGAAATAATTGCATGAACACAAATTAGAGCGCTTCGCATAGGAATCGTTCTGCGATTTCGGTGATTTCAGTGACTTCCGCCGATTCCTCCGCTTTCTCCGAAGGTCTCTTGTCACGTCTACTTGAGCACGGCCCCCGATTCTTCACTCTTCCCCCCAATTATAGTTCTCCGATACGTTAAGCCCCCCGAAGAATGCTTTATAGCCGGCGAAAATAATGCGTATTGTGATCATTGAAGTTGGCCCAAAGAAAATAGAAAATACTTATTACTTACTTCCCAGCGGAGACATTCTTTTTGTCATCGGCGATTTCTGGGTTAGCTGGCATGGTATTTGGCACTTGGGTCAATGTGCCACATGTGGCACAAGGTGTGATGAGAAATGGGTGTCAGGGGGCAGGAGGTTCCCAAGCAGGTCTAAATTCCAGGTGGTTAGGTAATGAGAGGGGTGGAAATGGCAGAGAACTTGCGAATTTCCACCCTGAGATTAATAGAAAGTTTAAGAATTACTTG